CAGTGGCAATGCATTAAATGTGCTTAATTCGCCTTAACGAATTCATTTCTAAGATTTCTATACTACCGAGTTTACCTCGTTATACAATTGCAACTGTTTTTTACATATCCAGATGTATCTAGGGTGTAGCTGAAAACGTGTGGCTTCAAGTAAAAAACGTGTTTTAGAGGTGGCATCTTACCGTGAAATTTCGTTTCCCCCCAGCACCCCCAGATAAAAAGGAAGCACTATATACGGTAGATCATCACCATCGAAAGCACAACAGTCTCGTCGCATTTAAAAGCCTTATTGAAAAGAAAACAAAAGTGAATGGCGAGGGGACATAGTACTCGCTTACCACAATCATTCCCAGGTACATACACCCCGAGATGGCCCAAGTGGTTAGAGCGCGAATTTACTGAGCGAAAGGTCCGTGGTTCGAACCCGACCTCTGCCTATCGACTTCCCCTGTCTAGGCTTGGGCAACCTGACAGTATCCCAGCCCTCGTGCAACCTTCGGGTGGCACGACAGCTAGGAATCGAAAGGGTGCTACAGCTGGACGATTTTTTTACACACCCCAAGACATCCATCCAGAAAAGCTGGTTAGAAACTGACAGCAAAAACACCAGTGACATCGATTGGTAGCCACACCTTTCACCGTCTCTAACCATGTACCGAAGGGACCAAGCAAACCACCTCCTGAAAGGCTACCGTCACTATCCAGACTTTTCGCAGTCGTTTGCACAACCCTCTGCTTGCATCAACCTAGACTGTACACGGAAAACAGCAGTCTTGTCGTCAAACGATGAGCCGATATGTTCAATACATAACCAAACCAGAGCAATGGGTGGCACTCACTTCTTGGAGAATTTTTTTACGGAAAAGAATTGACTGTCCGATTTGGCTACTCATCCCAGAAGGGAGTATTTCGATCAAAGAAACATTTTCCATCTATAATTCTTCCTTGGCAGTCTAGTTCAATTCGACTTTACGAAGTTAATCCGTGTACTTGTGAATGGGAAGGTTGACAAAAATGAGGCCTAACGAACTCCGCTTTAGGTCGTGAGACCAGAGGAATACTCCACGTAGACGTTAATAGGAGTTGGACGATTCGGGTTGGAGAAGTGTGTCGAGAACTTTGGCGGACGTTGTCACAAAGCAGCACGATTCATGGAGTCTGGTGATGCTCTTGGATCCAACAAGATGACTCTGTAGTGTTGTCCGAGAATTCGCCGCGGGATAAGAATATGGTCAATTCATACATGAACAGACAGAACTGGCTTACGTTTCAAAACTCTGATCCTCGTGAGTGAGGGCAGGCCTACTTATGATAAAATCTATTAGCAGTTTAGAAACGGTGGCTACCAGAGTGATACCGCGAGTACGGATCGAGTACATTTCTGGAGACGAAAGTAGACACCTATCTTCCCCCAGGTATCACCTTTCAAACACCAACCCCCTGTTCCTAAACAAGACAGAAGGCAGTCAGAATCCAATGTTTCCTTCCGCTTCAATAGACGTGATTTCTTCTTCTGTTGGAATAGAAGGGTTCACCTCCATTTCCAAGTTTTGGATCGGTGGAACCACATCCCAGTCTGAATCTGTCGACAGAATGATCTTTGAATTGGGCCTGGAGACCAGTTAAGCTGTACCCCGAAATGTTTTTTCCATCGAAGTAGACGAAAGGACACGGGACGAATTTTGGAGTTATCCATCACTGTGAGGACTTCATTGACCGGCGAATTTCTTGACCCCGTGTTGCAGATGCATTTGAAAAAAGTCTCATCGCTTCCAACACCGCAGCCTCTTTAACTTCCGGAATATTCTCTGGGGTGTTCGGATCACTACAAAAACTTGTTTACTTATACCAAACGCTGCTTCCAGATGAAGGGAATTTCGATGTCCAGAAAAATCCTGCCAATAAAATGTACAACCAGAAGGTGAACAAAACAACTATCACGGTGACTCTTCTTGATGAGCTGGGAATTGTAAGAAGGCGAGGATGTAGTTGGCCGTGGAGCGCTCCGGGTTGCAAATTTTCAGCAGAAGAAGGAAGGGACGAAGAGACCAGTCGGAAAACGGAAAACGACAACTTGGCGGGAATGAGTGAAATGCGCCAATGTTTGTGAGTGGGGTGTAGTCAATGTATATTCTGGGGGAACATTTGTAATAATAATAGTGGCAATGATAAAACCTGAGGTCCACGGAGATCCAGAAGCGTGGGATGCAGAAAAGAAAACCCATCCTCTCAGATAGGCTTGTAGAAATCAGTTTGATTGAACCAAGAAGGGCTGGTGGAAAGTTTAGGTCTCATGCGGACAGAGAGGAAGAGCAGTAAAAACGAGGGCTATGGGGGATTGGCGAGAGACGTGAGATGCAGGTGATTCGGAAAGGTTGGGTGCAGCAGTATTGATGAACCTCAATTCTGAACGCCCATGAGATCACCATCAGGACATGTATGGCGACGTGTGTCGTCAAACAGTCAAACACCGCTGCCTTGCCATCAGGTTTTCGAGCCAAATGCTTTGGTTGAGGACCCTAATGGTCCCCCTGTCTAGAATGTGTTCAGCACTAGAAGCTGAGTTGGTTAGGCCACATATTGCGTATGCTGAACCACTGTTTGTCAGAGAGAGTGCTGCTTTCCGTGTCCACTCACAGAGTGAAGGAAACAGACAGGTGGCCAACCCTTGAGCTGGCAGAAGGGTATGAAGGATAATAAGAAACGTTTGGGTGCTGTCGGTGCGAATTACCGTGCGATCCCATCTGCGCCTGGCTGGATACGTTGCAAGATATGGCTGCTAGTCGATGCCAATGGCTTCTGTATTGTCACTTGCTATCAGATCGCCGGAATGAGTGTCTGGAGATGTCATCATCAGCATCATCATCGACAGCATGACATCAGTGTTCAACACCGATGCGTCACTGCCGTACAACCATGACTT